GTATAAAACTATTCAGGAGACGTACAAGGGGAGATGAATTTATATTTTTGATACATTTATATAAAAAAGATTATATATTACATTTCAACGTGGTATATATAATATAAGTATGTCCTTCGGCCGATTTGGCCCATTTTCAATATCAATCTGCGTGCAAGAATTTCCAAAGATTCTGCTAAATTTGAATTCGATAACTTCGTTTGTGCGGCTAAGAGAATGCTTACAGACGGATAGACGTAGGTGCTTAAATCAAATTTGATGATGATGATCAAGAATATATATATAGTTTGTGGAGCCTCTAAAGCTGCCTTCTGGATGTTATAAAAAACGTTTTAAGAAATCAATATATCTCTCGTCCTCCGGTGATGGGTATGAAAATTGTAAATAACAAATGCAAAGTTGTAACAATTTAACTTACATTTTATTAAGGGCTTCATATTTATGAGATAGAGACTCATGCAATGCTAGTAACGAAGAATGTTGAAATACTCCATCTTTATTGCCAAAAGTCAAAAGTAATTTGCAAGACCATTCCAAGTAGAATTCTATGTGTGGTGATGTTTGTAATAAACGAGCGATTATTGGTAATAAACGGTGGGCATATTCGTTGGGCATGTCAGAAATTACCAGTTGCACTGAAATAGAGATCAAATCACTTACAAGGTATGCTTTTGTAAACGCGTGCTAAGGTTAATTAATACGTCTCGGCAAGATTAAGTGCCCTACCATAAACTTGCAGTCATTGTAATTACACCGATAAACGGACCCCTTTTAATATAAATTGTCGGAGTCGCCATACTGCATTACTTACTACATTGCAATAGAACACGGAACAACGGGGAATAAACAGAATATTGTAGCTTTAAGCGAGACACTCAGTGACGCCACGAAATTAAGTTATACATTCTTCACGGAAATCAGCCAATGTTTTCAATTAGATCGTGGAAAAAGTATATGGCGCAGAATGCCAGAAAATATTGATAAATATTAAGTTTAGTTAGCTAATGTTTAGTTTAGTAATCAATAGTAATAAATACTAATAAGTATTAATGATAATGATAATACAACAACAACCGTCAATTCACGCCATTCCTACTTTTGCATCAAAAACTCGCCAAGACAACCAACAACCATTTACAGCGTATTTGGTAGTATTAATATTTGAGCACGCAAATATGTTTTGGGACACAAACTTTTTTTAAAAATAGTATCTTCGAATCTTTATATTGCGTGTGCTTGACAATTTGTTTGCATAAACAACTTTCATCTTGATGGTGCAATTTTGTCTATCAAATATATTTCAAATGCAGCAAATACGCGCAATTCGAAAACTCATCGTTCAGCAAAAAAACGATAAATTTAAAAAAATTGCGCCTGCCAAATATAAAATGGCTTTTAATCCTTGGCAGATCAAAATAATTTATGGACTCATGAGCAACTACGCTTATGATAAAATATGTATCATGCCAAGCGATATTTGTTGATATTTCTAAAAAATGATACCCGCCTCGGGGACCTAAATTGCTTATTTAAAAAAAAAAATCTGTCTTTTAACTAACAATTTTTTCTTATCCCATATTTTTAAATTTTAATTAATTTTTTCCCCTAAATGAAATCTTTAAAATAAACCTTCTAAACCTTCAAAAAAATAAATAAATAGATAAATACGCTATAGTGGAACATGGCCCACTATTAAATACCCCATACCGCTTCGCTTAAAACGTATATTGCTACATTTTTCGAATTAACTTGTTACACGGGAAGTGCTCGAAAAAGTGCTCAGATCCAAACCATTTTTAAAGCGATCGACCTTGGACCACACCATTCAGGTGTATCAAATATCATTAATATATCTCGGAAATTTTCACTTGTAGGTTGACTATAACAAAAAGACGGACAGGCGGACAAGCATAGAAAAATGAGCCTGAACCGTTCGGCATAGACTCTCTCAAATCTTTTTCGGTATTGCCTTGTACCACAAAAGGTGTAGCGTATAGAAGTAATTTATAACTTAAATAGCCTTAACCTGCAACACTTCTAATGAGCTTAAAACTTAAAGCGACATATTTAAATATCAAAATATTTGACTGATTTTGGTAATTTTCACACCCAACTGATTTTGGTAATTTTCAGAACTGACTGATTTTGGTAATTTTTAAATCTGATCGCATATAACTACTGGAGTTTTTGTTAATGTGGAGATATAAGCCATGTCTCATTAAGTTAGTCCAAGCTCGCTTCATGTTCAAAACAAAAAATATAAAAATGGTAATCAATCAGCCATTTCAATCAACACGTTAGCCTGGTCCAAAGATATTCGAAATTTAAAAAAAAAAAATAAATAAATCCGTTTTAGCTGTTCATTTACTGTACTCGATATGACTAAATCTATCCGAAAAGTGTTGTTCGCTGGAATTATAAAAATCTACGTTTGCCATAAAAAACTCTGCTCTGTTAAAACCATTATCGTATTGCTTAAAATTGACTGATTTTGTTAGGAATTTCTATACTAATTTTTCATTTTTTTAAAAATTTTTTTTGTAAATCCAACTTACCATCTTCAAATGGTATTGATTCTAGTGAAAACATGATTAAATTTGTTTCATTTAATTTTAAAGCCATTATTAATGCTTTTGAGAATTCACCATTTTTGACGGCGTCTTTAACAGCTTTCGGCGTAACTTCCAATGATAAATTAAATGGATCGAAAACAACACCTACAATAGTAATAAAATGTCATACAGGGACTTGAAAGGCAATTTTACTCTTGAATGGACCTTTATCTAAAGAATATATACAAAGTCCTTCAGTGCAGGCAGCAGCAAATGATTGACCAGTAGGTGAAAATTTAACCGAAAATACTTTAACTTCAGGCTTGAAATGACGCGCAGCCATATCGCCTTTTTGAACACCTGGCAAACGTATCGCCACTTTTCCACCTTCAGTTTCTTCACGCTGCTCTATCAAAGCCATATTACCGAACTCAGTCATATTCCGGCGGTTTATATATTCCTTTAACCGAGAAGATATGTGAGAATTGAGACACAAACGCTTACTGTGTACTTACATTCAAACCATCGAAACTTCGATTTTGTGTTATTTCAAACTTTTTAAGTAAAATTCCTTCTTTAACGTGATATATGCAAATAGCATGGGAACGACCTGCGGCCAAAATACACTCGCCATCAACTGAGTATTCTATTGTGGAAAAATATCTAAAAATAGAAAACTTTATTTACGGATGATAGAAAATTATAGTCAAAAACAGTCTATCTTACCGGCCCAATTGATTTCTTTTCGCTGTTATAATATCAGTTTCTAAGCGACCGCTTGCCAAATCTTTACGTCCTTCGATACTGCTTATTTGAGTGGCAGTTTTAACATCAAATACAGTAATACCAGCATTCAAAGTAGCCACAGCCACCTTTAAAAAATTATTCGTTAATGAAAATGGTTTTGACAGCTAATTATTTTATTATTTTACATGCTCGCCGTTTGGGTTGAAACAGACACAGGTAACATCATGCAACAAATCTATGGTTTCATGTTCAGATTTAGTTTCTAAACAATTCCATATTTTTATAGTTTTATCCCAAGATCCTGAAACCAATGTAGAACTGGTAGGCACAGGTGCAAAAGCTAATGAAGACACAGGAGCTTCATGACCGCTTATAACCTCCAATAAAGTGCCCAATTTAATCGACCACAAGTATATTTCGAAAACATCTTGACCGCCAGCTACTATTAATTCATCCGAATAATCGACAGCTACGCATGAAAATTGTATCAACCTCGGTGAAGTGAATGTACGAAAATTGCGATAACTGTAATAAAGGTATTTTCATAAATAAAATGGCTTATCAACATCAATATTGGACCATTGTACCGTGTGATATCAAAAGCTCTGACCGTGCCATCCAGAGAACTGCTAACGAGGAATTTTTTACTACGACTGAATTGCACTGCTGTGATGGCACTCGTGTGTTCGGTAAATGTTACAAAGCAAAAACCACTTTGCGTATTCCATAACTTAACCTTAGAATCTTCTCCTCCGGTAGCTATGTACTGGCCATCTGGAGAATAGCTAATGCAGATCATTTCACTGCTGTGTCCTTGTTGTTTCATTATGTACTGTTCAGACTGCCACTCCCACACAAGCAGCTGCCCTAATTCTTTGGATGCCAAAGCTACCCAATCACCGGTACTATTAAATAACGCTGTCGAAATTGCATAATCGGATATTGTCAACGAATGTATCATATTCACATCGGGAAGCTCATACAAATAAAATGAGCCGTTACTGAAACCAACCACCAGAATTTTAATACGCTTATTATAATAAGCGGCTGTTAGCACAACATCACGTTGTTCTTTGCGAGGTTCGTCAGCTAAGTAATGACGGGCCAACTTTTTATAATAAAACGGATGACATTTCTTTTCACCCTCATTGTCGTTGTGCTCATTCTCGTCTACTATGTTCTCTGTCAGAGAGTCTACATTTTCAATTCTTTTTTCCACAGTTTCCTCAATTTCATCTTCAGATTCTTCATCGGAATTATCGCCATCAATTTTTGTCCTTTTCTGTTCAATAGGTGATTGTTTCTCTTCGTCGTTGAAATCTGACAGAGTTAAACTACATTCCCACAAACATAACTGACCGTTACGACTAATAGTGTTAGCATGCAAGCTGTTTGCTTCGAAAAAACAAGATACTATTGCATCTGTATGCCCACTCAATATAAACGTACGAAAATTTTTCATATAATGTCTTCCTATCACTTTAGTGGTGCTGTCGCGGCAACCTACTAATAAAAATCTAGAATCTGACGACCAGTCCAAGTAGCTGACGTCATCGTAGCCTCCGAGATAGGTACGTTCCAGCACAAACGGATTATATTCGCCTGTCAATTCTCCTGGAGATTTAAATACTAACACCAAATTTTGCATAGCCACAGCGAAAAAGGCGCCGCTGGGACTAAATGCAATATATTGCACCTTGTCTTTAAATTTGTGCTGATGGATAACCATACAGGAAATCATACTAATTAATTGCGCCTGACCGTGTTCATTTGCAGCCAACAGTAAACTCCCATCTGGTGACAATGCTATAGCTGTATAATTGAAACGTGATTCCACATCTAAAGTACGAGCTTTATTGCTATAAACAGAAATATATTTTATGCCAAAGTAGAAATTCCTTAGTATAGATGTACTCACTTTTTTAAATCATAAATGGTCAAACGATTACCAACGGGACTAATAATTGAATTACCGTCGGGAGTAAAAACAAGATTTCCACAACGATATATTGTGCCCAATAAATTAGAAAACTGTATTAAAGGGCCAATTGCTTGTAAGAACTTTAAAATAATGGAATTCGTTTACATTAAATATTACCTTGTATGAAAACTTCATTTTATAAATCTTTTTAATAACCCTTTTTTTGCAGCTTAAGCTTAACTAAGCCAAAGAGATATGTGTCTTATAATTTAAATAACTCACTTTCGTTCTACAAGTTTTTATATAAATATAGCAACCGAAACGAAAAATTTTGTTTTGGAAACGAAGAAGAAAACAAACTAATGCACGTGCAAAAGTACTGAGTTGCCAGTCCTCAAAAATACATTTTGTTTGTACAAATGAAATTTTGCATGGAGGGGAGGGGAATGTGGGCAGGCGACGGCGACAGTCACTAATAAACACCAATCATGTAAGTAAATTTGTTAGCAATTGTCGCCAAATGTGCTCTTAAACGTCATTCACACTTGACACAACACGTCATCTCCGCAAACGGCAGCTGGATAATTTTTGTGTTTACCGGTGTTAGTGAAAAAAAAAAAAAAAAAAAAAAAAAAGATTTTAAATATTTGAATAGGGAAATTGAATTAAACATCAACAGGATAATTGCGATTAAAAATCTTTCGTATAAAGAGGTCAAAGAGAATTTTTCCGAAAATTATTCCGAATGTCTCGATGACAACACTTATGACGGCAATTTCCCTCCACTGGGGAACACGTCTGCATTTTCGACCAAGGATGATAATCAAAATGCCAACAAAATCTTAACGAAAAATAAATACAATGCTGTCGTCAAAAGGAAATTGGTTCCCTCCAAATCCCTGATCTATTCATCAATAAAACTTACACCAATTATTTATTAACAGAACTCAATATGTAAATGAATTGTTCCTATTGTTTGCAAACGATAGTAAATAATCTGAAGGTTAGTGTATTAGCACCTATTTTTTATTTACATAAATATAAACATTTATTTCTAGATTTGCAACCTCTCTGGCCAGTGCCACTTCCTCACTTTGGCGATTATTTTGTTCCATTTGTTCTTTTGAAGCTATGCTGAAATCACAATTTTTGATTATAAAAATAAATTTACACAAATAAACAGAAGACACTTGAGACTATTCATATTGTTATCCTTAGGGCGAAAAGTTACTAGAAGATAAATAATAATAACTCCTCTTCACTAACCGCAGTTGAACACTTCCATGACTTCTTCCCTTGATGACAGTTCTTGAAAAACATAGCATTTTGCTGTTATTTTTTCAAATACTTAATATGAGAAAATTTCATTTCTACTCGCCTGTAGGGAGTTTTCCTTAGCGCCGTTAATTATTTTCATTTCGTGCCACCAGCTGGTAAAAACTGATGCAATATTATAATCTTCGAGCAGGAAGCACATATATTTCATCACATAAATTTACAAGGATTTTTTACAAGCCCAAAGAAATTAAATGTAAATTTCCTGTAAATCGATTATGACCATTTTAACATTGCAATTAAAATGCCATTTTATAGCCTAATACACACCTTACATAATTTTCTTTTCCATTTAATTTTGTAACCTTGCTATATGTGGTAACAAACGTCAGCTTGGCTTTCAATTTTTGCGGCACTCTCAATTATCAATACATTGTAATGGAATAATTGACGAAAAGTATTGGAAAATTGGCGACAATGGTACATAATAAATTAATTTGAATATTAAAGTAATCATATTCGATCTGCAATACTTTTTTTTTCTTTTTCTTTACAAATGTGACTTCGAACACAGTTTATTTATTTTTAAAATTTTGAATTAATAATTCATTTTATAGTAGCCATTTACATTTTTCTTTTCCAGCTTTTTTTTTACCAACACAACTTTGAAAGAGTGATTTATGGTAACTTTGCTTAGGACTTTAGATACGGCGGACGTGTAACACACAAAAATTAAAAAAAAAAATTAGAAGAAAAAAACGCGGCAGGCGTTTAACACGCAAAAATTTATAATACCTTCAATTAAATGCACTGATTGTGAAGATATAATAAAATAAATACCGAAATATGAAGATAGAATAAGATAAAAAATATACCAAAACAAACCTTCATCTTTACTACGTTCCAAACAAAGAAGTTGATATTTGCCGCATCCCCTTTCAAAGATGCTATTAAATTATTTACGAAAGAACAAACTTATTCTTTAATGTCTAATTATACTTGTTATTATGTTTCTCCTATTTTTTCTTTGTTAGTTTGGTTATGTATACCTATATTTGTTGAATTATTCTCTTTTAATTTAGGTTTAATTCTTTTTTATATTTTACAAGATTAGGAATATATAAAGTAATAGTAGCAGGATGGTCTTCTAATCCTAATTACGCTTTGTTCGGGGGGTTACGTATGGTTGCTCAAACTATTTCGTATGAAGTAAGATTAAATAAATATAAGTAAAGTAAGGGTATTCCGTATAAACATACAGATTGTGTGCAGAGAAATTGCGATATACAACAAAAAAAGTGCGCCGCCATACTTGTACTATATATGCTAACTTGCACGAATTATGATCAAAATAATTTTTAAAGAAATGTTCATTGTTATACATGAACTTTCTTGTTCACCCCGAGTTTTTTTTACAGTGCAGCGTATCATCTACTGTTGACTCTCTGAAAATATAAGAAGAAGAAGAAAAACTTTGCAAAGTTTATGTTTAATGGTACAGCAAATTTGTTTCCAGTGACAGCCATTTTACTGCCGACGGATTTGACGTGCCTGAGAGAGCGAATTTGGCAACAATCGACGGCAAATTTGCCAACGTAATCAGATTCTCTCGGCGATTGCCGCCTGCTTACATGATTGCCCGCAAGCATTTTTTACAGCAATAATTTATTCCTACAGACTACCCCTTTTTCAAAGAGACTAGCTTATGCATAATATAAGTATAGGCAATATTATCATTTTTAAATTTTTGGATTGCACTTGGAACATTAAAAGTTATATTTACATACAGTTAAAATAGTTAAAATGCGTAGCTTTACAGCCCCTAAACATGTTTTTAATTTTCTAGAGCAAATAACTTGCTTTGAAATGTGTTCCAGTCAATTTGCCACTTCGCTTCTGTGCATTGCAGCACATGAAAAGCTTATATTAGGCTTTGTGCGCTTCCCGGTAACTATGACATAGGATTGTTTTTCAGAGGCAAATTGTTTATCTCTTTTCCTTTAAACAGGAAGAAACGGAAAGTGAATCATTTTTTTGGGAGAAAGTAAAAGATATTTACCATGAAACCCGTTGCCATGCTTTGTGTTTTACCCCCGATACATCACTTATGATTATACCAAAAAATGTAACATTCTGTGCAGCAGGCTCAGATTTCTTGCTTCGAATATTTCGTACAGATCTTCAAAATTCAGACACAGTACAAACATTAAAAGGTCATACCAACTATGTTAACGAGATTAGCTGGAGTAATGAATGCGAATTTTTGGCATCAGTAAGTGATGACAATTCGTGCAAAATCTGGTGTTCTGAATCAAACTATGATAACATCATTACATTTTGTTTGTCATCGGCTGGTATGTCGGTAAAGTGGCATCCCGACGACCCAAATAAGGTGATGGTAGCCGAAAAAAAGGGTGTCATACATATGTACAATGTACGTTCACAGCAGTCTGTCATATCTGTTGAATGTCCAAAAATTCCATTATTGACTGCTGATTGGGCTCTAAATAATTATCACATTATTACTGCCTTATCTGGAGGTGAAATTGTAACGTTCGACATGTCGCGGAGACCTTGGTCGCCAACAAACGTGAAACCGGTACATGAGGATGGGGGGCGATGTTTGCGTATTTCTCCTAGTTCTGAGAATGTAACGGCCAGTATCGGCAGACCAGACATAACACTTAAAATCTTCACTGCTAATTCCACAGTGCCGTTGATCGAGGCTCCTTTAAAATCATGCGCTGGTTTGTCTTGGCATCAACGCTTGCCTTATGTAGCAGCTGCTTGTGATCGAAAACTATGTTTTTGGAAAGTTCAAACAAAATAGTTATGCTCTTCCAAATATTGATTGCTTTATTTCACTTTTATTTTATTTAAACAAAAAAAAAATGGTGGAAATATACAAAATGCAAAACTGACAAAAGAAAATTAATTTTATCAAGCGTTAACTAAAGAATCCAAGTATGCTTTATGACGTTGCTCTTGTTGAACTTGCAATTTCTGTAACTTTTTCAAGTGGTTTGCGCTAATCTTGTTGCCATCTTTATCATGGGTTGGTAAGCCCTAAAATTTAGGAGGAACACAAGGATTTCAAGCACTGTGATTGACAATTTGCTTTCTTATGTCATACTTACGTTTTCATCAAATCGTGAATATTTATCGGTTGCTTTGAGGAACATTTCCTTTGGATTAACCTTTTCCTTGTTCTCCTTAACATCTGCCTTTCCGGCTGCAACATGTTTCTTACATTCCTTTTTTGCTAAACGCTCGGCTGGCGCGGCTTCTTTTGCTTCCTGCTCGCGCAATAAAGTGTAACGATCCACCAATTTCACGGCGTACCCTCCCTCATCCTTATCTTCGAGACGTACGCCCAATTGCGGTAGAACATTGTCTCTTAGTTCATCACATAATTTTAAAATTTCTAGTGCTTTTAAAGTTTTGGCTTGAACTCGTATTTGCTTTCTAAATTCAGCTGCAGCTTCTACGTAAGGAAGAACAGTACTTTCCACATCTATGTGGCCGCTTGATAAATCCCGTACAGTGAAACCAATTGCTCCTCTAGGTCCCGTTATTGCCCCGAATATATGCAATAAATCTGTGATATAGAGTGCTATTTTCCGTAACAATAGGCTATTTAATTTAAGTTTATTATCACGAATGTAAATATTAGCAGACGAAACCAAATCTCTTACGGCATCTAGTGAACTGCGAGTATCCACATTGTCTATGGAACCGAAAAAATAATATGTTAACCATTGATGCATTAAATTTTTATATCAGCTTGACTTGCCACACAAAGCTTGATGTACCAGCTGTCGTGTAACATTGTACTTAGTTAATAACTCGGCCTCGGTTTTGGTCCATGCATCGAAAAGACGTCTGGGTTCACCAGAAACTAAATGACGAGTGAGATCCTTTACGTTTAGGAAGAATTCCTAAGAAGTATTTTCATTTAGTTAATGCTCTCAAGAATGAAATATTTTACAAATATATATAGGACGTCCCAATTTTAAATTCTCATATTTCAACCGATTACTTTTTATATCTTACCCTAGGCTATCTTTTGAAATGAGGTAAAAATGACACTTTTGTAGTTTCATATTTGCCTTCTTTCCTCTAAAAAAGCATATATATTTTTGTTCGAGAAAAGCTTTGAGTTCTCAATAAAACTAAAAGGCTTCTACGCAGCTCTCACTATGCCCCGATATATACATTTTCAATTCCTATGTAGATATCAACAGTATAAATTAGTTATATCAAGACGTATTAGCGAATGCTCATAAGATGATTTCGGGGAATCTCCTTGTTCATTTAGATCGGAATAATTCTAGAATGCCTAATGATATTCCATACCATATTGTACACTTTTACTAAGTTAATTAATACCTTACTACTTCCTTGAAAGTGGCTTAAAATTTGACGAATTTAATGGTAATTTGTCTGAATAGTAAATGAAGTTTTTGGAACGCCCGATCTATAGATACTTACATTTAATAAGCGTTCATATTGTATAGCCATTGCCATAGTGTTTTGCGAATAATCCAAAGTATCCTTCCATGAATGAAGCAAAAACGCCAGGCGTAATTGGCAAGGTGAGTGTTGTTGTAAAGCTTGCTGAATGGTGACAAAATTTTTCAAGGATTTCGACATTTTGCATCCGGCTATTGTCAAGTGACCGGTATGTAAGAAATACTTAACCCACTCGCTTGAATCGAATGCAGCTTCAGATTGCGCAAGTTCGTTGTCGTGGTGAGGAAATTTAAGATCAACGCCCCCCGTGTGTATATCGAATTTTGGCCCGAACACATCTGAAGCCATAGCAGAACACTCGATGTGCCAACCAGGTCGTCCTTTGCCCCAGGGACTTTCCCACCAAGGTTCGCCACCTTTGCTAGTTTTCCATAAAGCAAAATCGTTAGGCGAGCGTTTTTCCGTTAAACGGTCTTCACCCACAAAGAGGTCTCCTTCGCCCTCCTGCAGTGATTTGGTATCACCATATGCCTCTGGCACCAATTTAGCGTAGAAGTGTTTTTCGCATTTATCAAAACTATCTACGTCAAAGTATACTGATCCATTAACTGCATAAGCTAAATTATTGTTAATGATTTTTTGTATAAATTCAATAATTTGAGGTACATATTCAGACACTCGAGTTAAGACATCTGGTGGGAGAATCTGCAAAAGACATTAATATTGCTTAGTAAGAATATTAAATAAACATATATATTTTGAATGAAAACGTCCCACGTTCAATGCATTCATATCGTTGTGAAATTGATCTTCCCAGTAACGAGGAAGCTCCTCAAATATGCTGTTATCATTAATTGTTGCACCTTCCTTTTTGTCCAACCAATCTGCTATAGGTTCTTTGGCTTCTCGTAAGTACAAATCGCGAGCCCTTACGATATCTTCTTCATTGCCGTTAGTTACTGCTGTTGTCAATAATTCTACAGCATTATTCATGCGATCCAACAACTTATTCAACATGATTTTCTTGTCAGGATCAGTATTTTTTTCGCAAGTATTTAGGAATGCCATCAAGACCGAACGCTGATCATCCAGTAATTGATCTAGCGGCACCTGCATCACACTACTGGAATAACGTTCAAAGAGATAGTTTTGCCGAGCTCTTTTAATGATCTTATCATCGATATCGGTAATATTCATCACGTAGTGTATGTTAAAGCCAAAGTATTCAGATAAAACGCGTCTTAATATATCAAAAGATATGTAGGATCTATAAAAGGAATGAATTTGTAAAATATGCTACATTGAACGTTTATTAGAATTACCTAGCGTGCCCCATATGGGAAGCATCGTACACAGTCGGCCCGCAGCTATACCAAGTCACCATATTACCATTCAAAGGTACAAAAACTTCTTTTTGCCTTGTCAGGCTGTTGTACAAACGCAACTTTGGTGCTTCCCCGCAATCTGGCGCTTGCCATGTAGGTTGCGTTCTTTTATTCATTCTTTTCGATTCAATTGCGTAGATGTTGCGATGATTATAAACAATAGCTAATACCTTTGTAAGTAATTTATGGAAATGAATTATTTTTAAAAAATTAAAATTTTTTAAATCTTAAGACAGTTGATCTCAACTGTCTACGAACGTGATACAAAATTTTCAGCCAAACGTAAAACTAAGCCACAGATGTTTTGTTTATAAAGCAAAATGATGCAATCTCATATACAAACGAACACGTTGCTGAAAATTTGTTTCGATTTTGTATTCAGCCGTTTTTACCAAATAGCAAATAAGCTGACAATGTTCCGTTATTCCGCTGTTTCATTGCTTTTTCCGCCTTTTTGGTGTGTACTTAAAAACCAAGCCAAAGTGATGCAATCTTAAATAGAAATTAAACAATTTTAGTTTCGACGCGCTCTATATAATATTGTAATTCCGTGCACTTCATTCTTTATGAAAATCAAAACCACACATACGTGCAAAGAATTGGTTTATGGCTCATGCAGAAAGCCTGAACCATTCATACGGAATCAAAACAATTATGGCAATAATAAACAAACTGATGTCTTGCATTCTTGGAATAAAAATTATAGCAAGGCAGAAAAACTAAAAAATATGTAGATGAAAAGACAGTAAGCGCCAGTAGTTTATGTAGCGAAATAAAAATGTTTTATAAATGAGCTCTGAAATTTCCTTACAATATTTCTACTTATTGTTGTTTAAAAACTAAGGAAATCATATGTTTTGTTAAAGTAAAGCTAACAATTTGTGAATTCTACGTATGCATGTTCAATGTATGCATATACTACAAATCTTGCTTTTCTTCCACTTCGCCTTTTTTATGATACCTTGTTGTTGTTGTTTAGCATCATTTTCAGAAGCCGTAAATATTGTATTAAAAACACATTTTTCCCTTTACCATTGAGGTCTTGATGTTTAGTTCAGGAACATCACAGCTCTTCGTGACCATGATTTTTCGTATCTTTTAGAAAACAGGAATGTATTTTTTGTTTGCTTTAAAAAGCATCTAAATAGTAATTTATAAAGCAAAAAAAATAGTAAGTTATTTAACAATCAACGGTAATGTGTGGATTAAGATGGATTAATTTCAATTTTAAGCAATTAGTTGGTTAAACGTATATGTCTTTACTACAATAATTATTTAAAACTAATTTCAGTGAACAACTTGAAGAGCCGCGAATGAAAAGTATTAAAAAGAAGAAACCTACAAAATGCTTGGTCTCTTTATACTGTTTCTTACAGGTCTACAGGTCATTACAGGCGAGCCTATTGTGGATTCTAATGGTTATTTAGCTTATTGCCCCTGTATGGGTGAGTGGTAACAGACTTAATTTTACATATTATAAATTTAAACTTCTGTCCCTCTATTAGGTCGATTTGGCAATCAGGCAGATCACTTTTTGGGTGCGCTGGCTTTTTCTAAAGCTTTAAATCGCACTTTAATCGTACCCCCATGGGTGGAATATCGTAAAGGAGAAACTCGCTCCAAACAAGTTCGATTTGATAGTTATTTTACTCTGCATCCTATAAAAGAATACCATCGCGTTATATTAATGGAAGATTTTATGAACGAGTTGGCCCCGAAACTTTGGCCCGAAGAAAAACGCATTTCATTTTGTTATATGGAACGCAAAAGTATATATTTGGAAGACGCCAATAAAGCAGATTGCCACGCAAAGGTATTGTAAATTGTAAATTTAAACATATCAGTTTAAATTTATTTTAATTTTAAACAATTAAAGGAAGGTAATCCATTCGGGCCATTTTGGGATACGTTCGGTGTAAACTTTTCAAATTCTGAATTTTATGGACCTTTGCATTTCGATATTCATCACAGCAATATAGCAGATAAGTGGAATGCGCAGTATCCACCTCAAAGATGGCCAGTTTTAGCTTTCACTGGTGCGCCTGCAAGCTTTCCTGTGCAACAAGATAATCGTCATTTACATAAATACCTAAAGTGGAATAGAAAGTTTCAAGACGATGCCCGGCAATTTATTAGGACCATGCCCAAGGGAGCTTTTATAGGTGTACATTTACGCAATGGTAACAGAACCGAACTCTAATTTCTCACACTTTAACAAAATCGAACTCAAATTTCTCTCTGTTCAATTTCTAGGCATTGATTGGGTGAGAGCGTGCGATCACGTCCGAGACAATCAGCAACTATTTGCTTCACCACAGTGTTTAGGATATAATAACGAGCGTGGCAATTTGTACCCGGAATTATGCATACCTTCGAAAGAGCTTATTATTCGCCAAATTAAACGCCTACTGAAAAATGTAAAGCAATCTTATCCTAAAAATGAGGTGCGATCAATTTTTGTGGCTTCAGATGCCAATCCCATGATAAAGGACTTAAATATGGCATTGCAACGTATGAATGTCACTGCTTATCGTTATCCAAAAGACAACCCACATTTAGACCTAACGATTTTGGGCCTTTCTAATCATTTCATCGGGAATTGTATATCCTCTTTCTCAGCCTTTGTTAAAAGAGAGCGAGATGTGAACGGCTTTCCGTCGTACTTCTGGGCATTTCCAAAGGAGAAGGAGAAGCAACATACAAAATTGCATGAGGAACTTTAAAGGCATTTAGGAGAAATATTTCGTGCCTACTTATCATTGCCAGTATCAAAGTATTATACCAATTAGTAGAATAAGCTTTTATTTTGTTTATCGTAAAAAATTCATCCATTATTTATATAGATATTACATATATGAAATCTCATAAAACTACATGAAATCTAATGCACCAATTTTTGATTTCGCGCTAGCTCTAACTGAGCTGCTGACACTTGAGTTAAACCGTCGCGGACAACACTCAAATTTTCTTTCCATGACTGTAAAAGATCTCTTAATTGCTCCCATTGCGGTGCACCGAATGTGCGATGCATAGTAGAGGAAATGTGGACTCTGCGATTGGCCTGATCAAGACGTGCTCGCACCAATTTGGTTTTGAGTACTTCAATAACGAAAGGTTCTACCTCGTCTTCACTAATTTGCAATTCCTTTGTGAGTGTATCAAAAGTCATTTCTGGATTACTTTCAGCTAATTGCATAAAAGTCAACAAGCGCATTTTCTTCATATTTTGTTCATGATTAAGTCCTTGCGAATTGACAAATTCCCGGTGGTCCTCGTAGAATTGTATATAAGCAGGCAATTTCTCAGACACAAAAATCGAGAGCAAGTCGTGTATCAAATCGCCTTCTAAGAAACGTACTGGCTTCAAAGCTAGCAAAGGATCTAAAAGAAATGTATTAGGATCGGCCAAAGCAGTTACTATACATTTCATAGCATCTTCTCGAGCAACACAAGCATTATCGGCTGTGTAGGTTCCTAATAATTCTATCATCACTTTTGAAGACAATTCAAGGTTCGTGTCTTTAGTAACATCGTGTAACAAGCGATAAAGCTTTTGCATTTGCTCCGCCGATGGTGGGCAATTCGCAAATTGACTTTTTAACTGTTCAACTCCAGTGAAAACTTCCAATACTTGATCGCACTGTTTCGCTACTTGGACTAAGTGATAATATACGTGATAACGTAAAGGTGATGCTGTATCCAAATTATTGAAAAGGCGCCACAAAGACTGCAAACACACCTTTGTTAAAGGTACATTGGGGGCTTTAGTCATTTTTTCACAATAAGCCAATATGATATTCTCTCCACGATCTAAGGGAATCTGCAAAGTGAAGTAATCTTACTGCAATTAAAGTTCTTTATTCATCATATTTATATTACCGTAATCATTATGGAAACAATGCTATTTAAAATACAATCGATTTGATTGGGTTCACCATCTTTAAAACACACGTCACAAACTCCAATTATTTTGTGTAAGTCGTCTTCTACTCCTTTATTAGACTTCTCAGAAGATATTTCTGCACCTAAATTCTTGAAATATTTCCTCAACTCCTGAACCTGCAAGGAGAAATTGAAAATCATTGCAATCGTCAGAACTGATATAACCTCAAATTCAATTAAAATCTTCGAAAACAAAATTTTTTAGTTGATACTCCATATATACCTGTTCGTCCATAGACAAATCTATAAAAACAGGTGGTGAATTCATAGTTACTAATTTATTTTTTACTAAGCTGCTACCGTTCAAATAAAGAGAATCTCAATACGTCTGCAAGTCGCTTTTACGAACGACAAAAAACGATACAAGGTTGCCATTTCAAGTTGTCTTTAAAGTCATGAATGTAAAGTTATCGATAACTATCTTTAACTAGCGATCTATAATCCAGAAACAGTGTTTGTTAATAACAAATAATGGAAAATGATTTAGTTTTTTAGATATTAATTGGGCTCTTGGGACCAAGAGAATGCTTAAAAAAGGTAGTGTCGAGTACGCATTCTTTTTTACTAAACCACTGGCAAATGTATTTCGCGAGTTCGATAAATCAACTAAAGAGTCACAGATAATATCGTCACTTTAAAATTTCAACGATGCGATCCTAGGTCATATAATGTTAAAAGGTTTTTCACACTTCAATATAATTCCTCCTACAAAGTAAATATTATTAAATAACAGACACTACTTAAAAGCAAACAATAAATATTGTAGTCAGTCGGTCAATCAAGTGCATAAGTTGCTTTTACTTTTGGAAAGCTTAAGCATTGGATCAATTTGGCTAAAGCTAGTTTAAACAATGCGAACAACTCTACTGCAATAGCGGAATATTATTACAGGGCTACTTTTGCTTTCCAATTTTGCAACTTATATCCGTATCATTACAAATATATGATAACAGTAGGGATTCCAAAGTTAGCTTAACAAAAAACATGGTACAGAAAAAACAATTAGTATATAAAAGCCGAGGCAGACATGCACAGAAATTTTCTGTCTAATTTATAGCCAGAAACTGGGAGACTGCGAAATTAATAATGATGGACGTCACTGAACGATAAATTTCTTGCCACTCCTTTTTTTATAAATAAGAGCATAGGTCGCCAATGATTAATTCTAATGGCGGTGAGTATGGGAGATTTGTAAACGTACTTCATACCAAACATTGGTTATATTAACTGTACGCGAGCTCATTACTTTTCGAAACGATTTTTCTTACTTAACATTTTGTAGAATGTTATATCTTTTTGGCAATAATTAAAATATTGCGCCGAAAGAGCCAGATCAGGAGCCAAAGATAATTTGAATTGTCCCAAAGAATGTCTGGCGAAACTTTGTTTTACTTTACGATCAGCCAACATCTCGCGCGATTTTTCTGGAACAACAGGTGGAAAACTTTCCATATCTTTATCTTTTACCAACGGAAGAAACCTCTTATAAAAACTATTCTAATTAAATTCATCCACCGTAGGCATTAATTTAAAATCCACGTCTTCATCTTTTAAATCGACAGCTTTATTCAAAGCCTGAACGTAGCTATGTGAATTTCTAGGATATGGTTGCCCCTTATCTATAAGGTAAACAATGTGGAGTTATCCCTTAGAGGTCAGAGACGAAATTTGTTTGTTAACAATTTTGTTTGGAATAGCCGGAGAAATTTTTATAATTCCTTTCTTTTAAACAAACCGAAAAAAGGTATTCGCTAAACATTCACACTTGATACAACACGTCAACACAACGTTGCGTTTTAGTATTTAAGGGGAGAAGATAACATAACAAAAAAACAAATTAAAAAAGAAAAACAAAAAGACCAAAAAAGTTCAATGAAAATTAGGTTCCACATAAGAATATGAAACCAAAACAAAATATACACTTATTTGCCAATTTACACAAAAAAAAAGTCATACCAGAAGGAGAGTTGGAGTAATTATCCATAGAATTTTTTGTTTCTCTTCAAAAGTATTCCACCCGTAAAAGTAACTTAATTCGAATTAACTTGTAACTTATATATATTTATATAACATCATAATATATAAAATTTAATAAATCATATTCAGCTTATGTTCGATTGAAGCTCAGATATATAATGCAGTTATTGTATCAACCTTGTCAATTTTTATCGTTATTAGAGTTTTGATGCAATTGGTTTCTTATTCGATTTGTCGTATCTTTGCTCTTTTTCGCCCTTTTCCGTTTCGGTGCGTGTTTTTTGTGTGCATCGACAATGTTATCGATCTTCGAAGTTCGATGGAGAATGCATAAAAAAACGCTTATTGAAGGTAAAAGAATTACTGCTGTTGTGCTGTTGTAACATAGAATTTCCTTCCTTTGGTTTGACGTTTCTATTCGCTTAACATTCCCACTTTATACAACATACAACATATTCTCCAAACGGCACACTTGCATGAATTATGATCAAGATATAATCTAGAAACGGCGCACTTGCATAAATTATAATCAAAATACAATCCAGAAACGGCGCACTTGCATAAATTATAATCAAAATACAATCCAGAAACGGCGCATTTGCATAAATTATTATCAAAATACAAATCCAGAAATGGCGCACTTGCATAAATTATGATCAAAATATTTGAAAATTTGGGGGACCTTTTCTCAGGCCAAGCTTTAAAAAAACTATTTTTAGGTTGCTTCATGGTTTGTCAATTCCTGGGATCCGGGCTACATAAAAACTAATATCTTCACCTTTTGTTTGGCCGTCCGTGTATCATAACATCAACAAATAGTATAGAAATTTCCAGCAATGTCAGTTGGCTAAAATTACACATCACAACCGTTGACGTCTTTCCTATTGAACGGAGTAGACATCCACATGGACATACTTTTTACTGATTAATTCTACTGTCAGAAAATAAGCGAAATCTTCTTAAAATTATTGATCGTCTCACGAATTCGAAAGAGTTTTTTCTGTCAAAGATGTGGCAGCTACCACAGTTTTCCAAAAATTTTTGAATGACGGATTCCACGGCTTGAATGTCCTGATACAGTACATATGAATCGTGAAAAACAGTTTCTATCCGACCATTTTCAATTACTTATGAAGTATCTGAAAACAAGAAGTCTTTATTGCATTTTCTAGCCTTTATGCCTTACCATCCGCAATCAGTTTTTTTATTTATATCATGCTAGAAAACAAATCCTCATTGGAATTATGTTCATTTAACTTTAAATGTTTTCAGTTCTCTTCAATTAATTATCGAATTGAGTCGAATTATATTCAAAATTATATAACAAAAAACTAAACTCGTTATAGTAAAAAAAGTTGGTATGAAAAAAATCATTGCTGGTCTAAAGCCATCCAGAAGGTACATGCACCTAAACTAATTCAGTTCTGTTCTGGAATTCTATATTGTTAAAATTATTGATAAGTGATTCGAACATTATTTTGTCAGTTAACAATTAAACAAACTTTGTAAAGTCGATCTGTTAATTGGACGCTTCATAATGTTTGATTCCTGAAAGACTGATCGACCATCATTTACACTTTAATCGGAGTTTGCAAAGCTCTTTTGAAATTGACGACGCGGTAAAAGATTTTGCAAATGTTAGTCACTAAGCTAGTTTTATATCGGCTGACAGAAATTTTGAAGAGCCTAGACATTGCAATAAACACGGTAGCCTTGAAATGAGGGAAATTATAAGAAACAAGAAAAGATTAAGAAATTAAGAAATTAAGAAAAGAATGTGAGCTTACGTCTAGTTGCGATAAGAAATGAACAATTAATAATTTTTTAATGGGCATCATTTTACGCATGTCTGATGAATATTACTTATGGAGAGCTTTCAAATATCTTAAGCAACCGTATTAGTCGTTAAAGAGACAGGTCCAGAAGTTGGCACAGAAATAGTGCGAGGAAAGTAGAAAACTTTGCTTATTATCTACAAGAAACTTTTCTGCCTATTCAACTATGTATGACCTCAAATACAGAAATATTGAAATTTGTAGCCAGCCCATGTTCTACGGTTTTGCCTACCAAGCGTACATTACTTGCTGAAGTCGGGGAAGAGGTGAGAAAAGTAACTTAAGTTAACTTCGCGATCAAGCCGATAGTTGGTGAACGTTTTTGTTGAAAAATGAAAGCAGCTTTTTCTCTCTAATAATTCAACAAGCAATCCAACTACAGATGAAGTAGTGACTCGCTTTTAGCTAAAGATTCGCAAGTTTGCTAAGAAGCAAGTGGGAAATTCTTGATGTAAGATGCGCCACCCGCATTAATAAATATAACACCGAACTCAGAAAATGTAGTAAGCTCGTATAGACTAAATAATTCTATAATTACTTTCTCTAAAGTTTCTCTCTCTCAGTTTTAGAAAAAAAATTTATTATTTCTGACCATCGGTTCCAGCAATAAACATGATGCTATTAACCAAGGTGATCGTCATCTCGGCAAATGGCAGTTGATAATTTTTGTGTTTTACTGATGTTAGTGAAAAAAAAAATTTACATCAATTTAAATAATTTAAAAAAAGGAAGGAGGGAAGAAAAAAAGAGGTTTAAGAAAGTAACCAAAGTTATTAAAAATTTAAAGGAAGAAAAGGAGAGAAGGAAGACGAAGAAAATAAGAGGAGAATTAAAAAGCAATATATATATATAAAATTTTTTGTTTTTTCATTGTGATTTTTTTTTTGGTGTTCCCCGTGATAACAACCAAAACAACATCAGCCCGTCCTTGGTTCTGATCTTATAACTATTGATAGAAACTGTTTTGAAGATTTTTATATGAATGCTACTGGGCCCACCAAGAGATTGAGGATGGATGAGAATAATATTCCTTTATCTCCCAATGGAGAGGCTAACACAAATGTTTCAACTGTGTCTAGTAAACAGGCAGTCGACAAGCCCTCTGATTTGAGTGCTACAGCCAGTCCAAATCACGAGATCAATTTGTACGACTGCCTGTGAGGGCCTTTCGGTCCATTCTCTGACGCTCAGCAACCCAAGATTTTAAATCACAAGAAAATTCATGTTTTCTTACTGGGTTTACCGTACTCTTTATTTAATTTTTCTTTACCTTCCGACTCGCTCTGAACGCGACTACCGTCTCAACCAGTCTCTCAACTAAGACTCTCCCTAACTTATTTCTAACTTATTCTACCATACCCAATTGTTAACCTATCCTTATTCTACTCTTAATCTCTTCCTATTCTATTCTTACCCTATTCTTATTCTATTCCTATCCTACTCTTAATCTATCCCTCTTTTAATTTTACCCTATTCTTATTCTATTCCTATTCTTTATCCTAAACTAAGTTACTCTCTAACTTAAACTAG